CTGCGTGTTTTCCCTGGCTGTTTTTAATTAATGTAGTTTGTGAATGTTACTGAGCACTTTATTGGACTTCAGAAGTAATGTGAATGAGTGAGGGACTTAATTTAAGTTGCACTTTTCTTCATCTCAACAGTGTTCACTGCAGCTAGATGGGCAAATGACTCCCTCCTGTGATGGAATCAAGTGGGTGAGAATGCATTGATCTGATTTATCAAATACATTTTGACTAGGGTTTTGCTCATTTGAGTAGAGTGAAATACAAAGCTTATGTCTGAACAGTGAATTATGCACAATAAACTTGAGTTGTCAGAACCTGATCGTGTGAGAGGATGTCATTGTAGCTCCTAATTTCTTTTCTATGTTCACAGATTCAGCATTCAAGATTCAGATTTGAAGTTCAAGATCCACATTTACAGTTTCACACTGCATGTTTGATACCAACCTTCTGTTCCCTTTTCCTTTTGAATTAAAGCTTCCTTTTCTCTTCTCTTCTGGGCTCGTTTTATTTTTGTTATGTTAGTAAAATGGATGTAGCAGTCCCTGTGATAACCAGCATTAGCTGGTATAGCATATTCTGCAGGATCCTGGCTGTGAAAGTTAAATCTTCGCACTGCCTCTAAAGCTACAAGACTCTCTTCAGTCCCTAAATCTTTCCACTCAAACACTGATTTAACAAATTTTTGCCATCCTGTGTCTGTAAAAGGAGTGATTGGTCCATCTCTCTGAATTAAATGCATACAGCACTCCATTTCTTATGCTAATGTGATGCTAGCAAACAAATTAAAAAAAAAATAGCAACAAAGATTAATCTAGTGGCGGGAGGGGGGTCGTTTTTATGACGTTTCATCATTTTGACAGATAAATGACAGGTGAAGTTCCCAACCAAGATAACAGACCTCAAATTTGTGAAATCAGATATGTTTATTTTGTATGAGCTCACAGAGAAAATATACATGGTACCTACACAGACTGTTTAAAAAAGTCTGTAACGTGTAAAGACCAAGTTAAGTATTGAAGACATAAAAGAGACTTATTAGGCCATGTATGTATGGCTCTACATGCAGCGCCATTTTTCCAAGGTTTTTTTTCTTTTTTCCAAGCGTCCCGTTGGACGATAACTACAATCACATCACGCATGTCCGACCCCGAACGTAGCTGTCTGCTCCGTTTGCCGGAAAAAAGGTAACGTGATAAAGTGACCGATCTACAAAAATGCGCAAGAAGTACCGGTGGCAACAATTTTCTTTTGATTTATTGAAAACTTAAGAAGTTGTCAACAAAAATCTGGGTCCTCCCCCGATAGGGATCGTTTAAGTACAAGGAATCGCGGCTTCGGCCCACCGCCTAACAGGGCTGTCACTGCACATAACTGTGTATCACCATCATCTGTGAAGGTTTTTTCCTGCATCTGTGAGATTTTTCTCAAACTTTTTCTCATAAATTAGTGAGTTTTTTTCTCCTAAATGTTTCCTTTGTTCTCATAAATTTGATTTTAATCCCTTGTTAATTGCTATGTGAAGAACTAGAGGTGTAATTTCATCTGGCGTATAGCATGACCTCACACACCCTGACATTACCTCTAAAGAAACAACGGTTGTTGGAGAAGAAGTTGTCGGATAAAGAAAGGGACAGAACTCGTAGCATGGGTTAATGTCCGGAGCTTGAGTTATTAGCGGCTCGGTCCCAGCAATGGGTCAGACGTTAAGGTTGTATTAGGTGAGTAGCCCAGCAGCCCAGCTAACATTTGCAATTAACATTGTAAAATGTAGCCCGGCGGGCAGCCTGGCGGCTGTGTTTAGCTATTCCCCTGCCTACTTCAATGATGATGGTCCCTGTAATAAATGCAATATATTTGCTGAAATGGAGGCGAGGCTCAGTGACTAGAAGAGCTGGTAGAAGCGCTCCATAGCTGCAAGCTATTCCAATAGCTGTAGTAGCTCTAGTGCTAACTCTGGGAGCTAACGCTAACATTCCTCTCATCTCCGTGAGCCCACCAGGAAGCAGGCTCCTGGAACGTTAGCATGGCAGCCGACTGGTGCTAACTCTAACGTCCCCACGCTTCTCGGTTCTGACTCACTGAGCCTGGTGGAGAAGCGTGGGGATGTTAGCTCTAATGGGCTGCCATGCTAACGTTCCAACTCTTCTCCGTGAGAGAGAACTCCCGGAGAGTTGGAGTTGGAGCGTTAGCGTGGTAGCCAAGTAGTGCTAACACTAACAGGAAAGCAGGGAAATAACTAAACACAGCAGAGACCGAGAGTGAGTGAAAGACATTGCTAACTGCTAAACTAACCGGCTAACCGGTGCTTCCTCCTCATGCTCCACTTCACTCAGCTGCTAACACAGCCAGTTAGCCTCTCCATTTGGATCCAACCGGAGCACCGAGCCCTGGATTGTTATTCAGGTTAATGTGGGAAGAAGCAGCGGGTATATCGGGCAGCTGAGT